GTACAGAACTTGTCAGTAACAGGGCAGTTCAAAGTGCTTTACATTAGAAAAACACAAAAAATACAAAGTCTTAGAACACAGTTAACAACTGAAGCATTAGTACCATTGTGACAAATGGTGACTGAGATCAGACACATTTGGAAGAAGAAAAAGGTGAAAGTTGTGAGTTTTGCTGATAAAGTGTCTGACCCCGGCCTCAGGGTCAGTTGTAACGTCTGACTTTTCATTTTCAAATACAAATAGTGAAGAATGTACATGTTTTAATCATTTATAAATGGTTTTGACAACGGACAGATGTAAGTTTATTGTATTAAAAGTTGGTTTGTCTAATTCAAACCATCTCTGAGGAACAGAGTCAAATGTAAAAAGTGTTGCCTCTGTCCCCGGTCTCTCCTAGTTGTTACTAAGTGAGTCAGATGTGGTGCTTTCAAAGATAAYAGCAAAGTCATCAGACATTTACCCTTCACTTCAAACAGTGTCAAAAGAGATGTTTGGGTTGGAGAAAGTTCAGGACGATTAAGTTAATTTTGTTTCCTTAAAGGGGCCCAGGGGGGAACGTGGAGCAGATGGTTTTCCTGGAAAAGCAGGACCCAAGGTACTGTAACTTACATAAAACTAAAATAAAGTTGTAGCACGAGACAACATGCGGTTAAAACAATCTGTTGTTCTGAGAAACACATATCTTATCTCCAGGGTGACGTAGGGCCTCCTGGACCAAGAGGTCCTCCAGGAGAAAGAGTGAGTCCAGACCTGAATCTCTTTTTTTTTAAGGTTTTGGAGTGTTTTATATAAAATGAAAGATAACTTGTAATGAGCTGTTGTGTGTTACAGGGAGAGTCTGGTCACCCTGGGCAGTCTGGCTCTGACGGTATGAGAGGAGATCGAGGTGTTCCGGTAGGTCCAGACCAAGTAGAGAAGGGCAGGAATAGTCCTGCAGGCTGTTACTGGTTAGCCAAATGAGTGTTCATTTTATAATTATTTTTTAATTTAGTAGTGTTTACTGTTGCCCGGAATTAAATAATTCACGACCATACGCGCAGACTTTTCTGTGCATTTATTCCAACGTGTTTCTGCATTTTTAATAAACGTGTCCACGACAGTTTATTGGCGTTGTTGGCAGGATTCGAACCTGCGCGGGGATCACTCTTTCGCAGAAATTACAAACCATTGTAAAAACACGCTACATTAGCTAATATTTAAACACTACACTTTTGCATGGCACTTATTTTGTTTGTGGCTGTTTTATCAACGACACATCAGTGTTACTGAGTGTGAATAAACCAGCAAAAATTTGTTACGATTCTCAGGCAGGAAAGAACCCATGATGCAGGCAGATTAAAGGTTCCAAAAAACAAAGTATTTATTAAACAAAAAAGGTGCTGACTAGGCAGCTCAAAAAACTCTGAGTGGCGTGGCAAGACAAGACAAGACAAGACAAGACAAGACAAGACAAGACAAGACAAGACAAGACAAGACAAGACAAGACAAGGCAAGGCAAGACAAGAC